CTGGAGCTGGAACTGAGGGCAGAAGTGGGCCAAAGGCTTCCTGCCCCGGAGCCGGTCTGTAGCTGGGGTCCTGGCACCCTGCTTGCAGCATGTCCAGAAGGTAGGGTGGGGACACCTTGCTAAGCACCCTCCCAGGCACAACTCCAGCGAGGGTGCAGTCGGTAGAAACGGGCACAGTCCTCTGTGGGTGCCCTGGCTCTGTCCTCGACCCCACACTTCCACATTATGGGGGCTCTGACCATGCAGCCTCCTCGAAATGTGTACAGAGTCTAGAAGCAGGTACTGCCCTGGGCCAGGGCCAAGTCCAGGGCCCTGTACCCCGGCCCCTGAGCCCTCAGAGCCCCTCTTTCTGTCTCTCCCTGCAGCCCTACTCTTTCTGCTTCCAGGGACAATTAGTGGCTCAGCTTTAATTAGCTAATGATCCCATCATTCAAAACGGTGATGGAGAGCTGGGGGAGGGGACCTCAGACCAGGGACCCCAGGAGCCAAGAAGGAATCCTTTCTGTTCTGGCTGGTTCTGGTCCCTAGCCCAAGCCCACCTCTCCTGGGAGCCACAGGCAGGGGCCCGCCATGACCCTCACAGGAGGGGCACCGGGGCTCTGCGCTGACCACCTCACGTCCCCAGCCCCATGGGCTTCTTGCTGTCTTGTAGCAGGAGCTGAGCTGCCTGTCTGCCTCCTATGGAGCGGTGAACCCAAGGGCCTGGCTGTCACCTTCCTATCCTTCCTGTCTTCTATTGCCACTGCCACCAATATGTCCGCTCAGTCCCAACCCTGATTCCTTGTCTTCATCAGAAAGAGGAGCACAGAAATCTGGTCCCAACAGCGCCAAGGCAGGGAGGCTATCATCACGAAACCAATAGTCACAGGACGGGAGGGCGGGAGGACGAGACACAGGATGTACTCAGAACAGAAGTCAAAGGCGAGGCCACTTCAGATGGGGAGACCCAGGAAGGGCCGCAGGGCGGGACCTGGAAAGCAGTCCGAGTTCCCCTGAGGTCTCTGGGCAGCCGGCTTAGCAAACCTTGAGTGCGGTGTCTGGGGGTTGCCCTTATATCACTGTGCCTGTACTGTTCAGGTCACTGTCCCCCACCACAGGTCTGCCAGTGAAGAGGGCTTTCTGGCTGCTTCCCCTCTGGGTCACCTGCTGCCACAGACTGAGGCCCCAGGGTGGAAGGACAGCATGGCCAGTCACAGCATGGTGAACAGGAGGAGGGACGGCTGGGGACAGGAGCAGGAAGCAGCCAGACCTAGAGGACCTTAGACACACAGGATCAGGGGGTCACTAAGGGCATGGGGCCAGATGTGCCAGCCTGGGGGGTGCCTGGGGGGGCAGGGGAGGATACCCCTCTCCAGAAAGGGAGGGAGAACTCAGGACCAGAGCCGGGGCCAGAGCCAACGGGGAAGCAGGGGTGATAGTGGGCTGAGATGCTGCAACCTGGATCTGTGAGCTTCAGGTGCTGGCAGGGGCAGGTGACACCTGGGGCTCGGGGAGGGCAGGGCCCTGTCCACAAAGCAGCATGGAGGGGAAGGATGGAGAAGGAGCAGCTGCCAGGGAGGCAGGTGAGGCGGGACGCAGGACAGGCCTCGGAATTCGGGTCCTGACAGGCTCACATGGGTGACACCGTGTGTCCCTTGATACAAAAAGGCCCCAAGGACCCCTACCACTGTGTGGGAGGGGAGGCCTCATCATGTGTCCTAGTGCACCCTGCCCACACTGGGACAGTCACAGAGCTCCCTGTCCCCTCCCTCAAAGGACTGGAGGTGACAGGTGAAGGAGACTGTCATAGCTGTTGTTGACACATGTTTGGCTCAAGTTTCTTTATTGGATTTTTGTTTGTTTGTTTGGTACTGGCGATTGAACTCCTGACCTTGTGCTTGCCAGGCAGGCGCTATGTCACTGAGCTAAATCCCCCGGCCCCTTCAAGTTTCTTGAAACAGGAATGTTTTGACATCTTCCTTCCCTCTTTTTTCCTCCTCTTCTTCTCCCTCTTCCTCTCTTTCTTTTTCTTTCTGTACCCTGATCCTCACTGTCACCTGAGTTTGAGAAGTGTTATGTTGCTGCTGGGCTGCCAAAGGGACCGTGGCTCACACACACACAAGAAGATTGGGACCTTTGCATCCAGGGAAGCAGGGGTCCAGGGAGCGCAAACACATGGCCCAGAAAAGCAGCAGCTGACCAGATAGGGCAGCACACTCCCAGGTCACCCAGAGGATTACTGGGGACTTGCTGGCACTCAGTCTCTGGAAGAGGTAACAGACAAAGAGTGTTCTGAGAGGCTGGAGCTGCAGGTGCTGAGGGTCAGCTGTGTCCAGGAAAATGACGTTGGGTCAGAGCTCCAGAGTGAAGACGGGGGGGACACAGACTGAGAGCACAGAGGACAGCAGGGGCCTCACTGGCCCCACGAAGGGGGCCGGGCTCAGTTATGATGGGGGAGGAGGGCTTCTGAGGTTGCTGGACAGTGGAAAGGCCAGAAAAGCTCCCCAGACCAGAGGCCCTCAGCAAGGGGCCCAGCTGAGACGTTCATAAACTGAGCCTGGGGGCAGAAGAGCTGTAATCTCAGATCTCTGGGAGGCTGAGGCAGGAGGATTTTAAGTTCTAGCCTGTCCTGGGCAATTTGGTTGTTTAGCAAGTTCTTCTCTCAAAATAAAAATAAAAAGAGGATGGGGACACAGGTCAGTCAGTGTGAAGGTCCTGTGTTCAATCCCCAGTACCATAAAAAAAAAGAAAGAAAGAAAGAGAAAAGAAAACAATCCATTTTGTAGCCAGGCACAGTGGTGCCCTCTGACTGTAGAGTCTGGGTACTTTGGAGGCTGAGGCAGGAGGATCACTTGAATCCAGGAATCGGAGATGAGCGTGGTCAAAATATTGAGACACTGATCCAAACACTGAATGAATGAACAAATGAATCAATTACATAGTAATTTAAAATAATTTTAAAAATCCATTTAGCACTGTGACTCACAGGTGGAATAAACTCCAGGAAACCAGGCAGCCAGACAGGGAGGGCCAGGAAATTCAGGGTGGTGTTGGGCCAGGCCTCTGACAGTGAGTGTACCCCAGAGCCCCAACACCCCTCTCCTAGGAGACACCGGTGTCCAGCAGGACTGACAAGCTCTTCTTCCCCCAAGGGAGCCATAGCAACAGGGCTGGGAGTGCAGGCCCACGCGATGGGGACCTGTGCCCTGGGGCCTGTCTCCTGCTGCATGCATGTACCTCTCACCGAGAGCCGGAGCCAGCATGGTGGGGCCGCCCAGCGGCTCCAGGCTTCCTCCACCCCTCCCCATCTCCCTGGCCACTTGGGAGACTCATTTCATTTCTCAAATTAAAAATCCATTTTGTGCTGTGAATAATGGATGGATGAGCCCGAAGAGGCTGGGCGGAGGGCAGGAAGACACCACAGGATGTGGGGCAGAGCAGGCTGGACAGCAAGGAGTCTGGGGGTATCCCTGAGTGACTCCCCCCATTGATGAGTTTTGGGGTACCCTTAGCGAATCCCCAGTCCCCAGGCATCCTTTGTGAGCACTACAATCTCCCAGGATCCCCAGAGTTGGGGCTGCTGGGTGACCCTTCCCCAGAACCTGGGCTGCCCTTTCTATCTAGGTGGTGGGACCCATCCCCCAACAAGGAGGAGGGGAGGGCTGGCCCCAAAACCTCTCTCTTTCACCCCTTGTGTCCTGTGGGGCCTTCTCTGTCCAAGACAGTGGGGCACAGGTGTGCTCTGTCATTCTCTCACTTTGGGGTCTCCTTGGCATTTGGGGAAGAGCCCTGAAATGCTCAAAGAGGGCACAAGAACTGGGGCTCAGGCCCCTGGAGTCCCCTACTCAACTATAGTGTCACTGTTCCTTTCTGAGAGAGGACAGGAGTGAAGGAGGTGGCAGTCAGGAAGGCTGGGCAGGAGTGACCAGAATCCAGTGGTCAGAGGGTCCCGTCCCCAGCCAGCTCTAACTGGGCCTGGCTGCTGGCTGGGACCAGGCTGGGGGATCCCGGGCTGGATGTGGAGAAGGTGGCTCTGACCAGGGTGGGAGGCCACTGTACCAGACAGGACCCAGGCCTGACAGCCACCTGCTGGGAGCTAGGTAGGGGAGGGTGCAGGATGACCTGAGGCCTGAGGGGGCCCAAGAGCTGAGCTGGAAGACAGAGAAGGGGAGGGACTAGGGCCTGGGTCCCCATCCTCCCTCCAGAAGCAGGAAAGTCCTGGGGAAGCATGTTTGCCTCTGCGCCTGGCAGTGTGTGTCAGGGGGAGTCGGCTCCCTGAGACAATATCCATTTTTATATTTCTTGGAAATTTCACGGCATTCATTTCAGAGAAAATAAAAGCTGTCATTGCTGGAGAAATGATACCAATCAGGGCCTGAAAAGGCTGGAAAATTATCCTCCAGGAGATGGAACATCGGAGGGGAAAATGCAGATTAAAAGCACAAAGGGCTGCTTGGCCGCCGCCCTGCCCTCCCCTCCCCGAGTGGAATCACCATCCTTTGCGTCACTCCATCCCGCCTTGGCAGAATTGATGTGACCAGAGAGGATGTATGGGGCAGAGAGCACCCTGGGGTGGCCAGAGAGAGTCCCACACTATCCCAAGCAGGGGTGCTGAGATGGACAGAGGATGGGGGGTGGGCAGAGGCCGCCACCTGAGAACTGGGCCCAGGAGAAACCCCAGGAAGAGTGCCGGGATGGCAAGCTATCTTGCAGCATCCACCGTGTCCTGGGCTTCATCCCAGGAGACACCCTTGAGGCTGGTCCACAGGCCAGGGAGGCCTGAGGCTTTGGGGGAGGGGTTACCAGGGGTGCTAGAGGGAGAGGGTGGTAGGCTGAGCCGAGAAAACAGAGCCTCCAGAGAGTGTGCCAGTGCCTCGTGTTCAAGAAGCCCTGGGTTCTGGGTGTCCCTCGTGGCCTGGCTCTGTGAGCTCGGGGTGGAGGAGGCAGAGAGGAGCTCAGCCTTGGGCAGGAGGGAGGCCCACATTGAAAAGAGGAGTTTCTGTGGAAGGGGTGGTGTCAGCTCCCCCCGACGGCCTGTCTACACCCCGGGATCTGGAGATGCACTCTGTGCCCGAGGCCTGGCAGCAGGCCGCAAGCGGCAGGCTCCCTCTCTGCTAGACATTTTCTCCCTGCCTGGGGCAGGGACCCTGAGCAGGGGTGCCGAGGCTGAGGAGGGGCACAGTCTCAGCCTCAGACTCTTGCAGCGCTGCCCTCTGGGGCCGCGTGAGGGGAGCGCGGCCAACCAGAACCCCAACACAAACGCCGGCCCATCACAGCGGGGTTAAAAGGAAGCCAAGGTCGCGGAGCCCTCTTGGAGCTGAGCTCCAGGGCTGTGGGCCCGGCAGGGATGTCGCGCGCGCCCCTCGGTCGGCTCTGATCGGAAGCACCGCGTCGGAAGGGACCCCTGCTCTGGGGAGCGCATCCGCGAGCACTGCTCCAGGACATAGCTGGACCCAGAGTCCCCGAGCCCGAAGCTAGGGCGCGACTCCATCTCCGCAGCCGCGGTCCCCACCTCTACGCCACCGCGGAGCTGACAGGTAGCCGCGAGTCAGGCAGGAAGCGGGAGGGGCGCGGGGCGGGGGCGGCGGGGAGGGTGGAGCTGCCAGCGCGCCCCCTCCCTGGGGCCGCAGGCTCCTCCGCGGCAGAGGCGGCGCCGGGCGCACGGAGAGCGCCGCTGCCCGCTCCGCTCCGCCAGGCTCAGTCCCGGCCCGGCCCGGCCCGACCCGCTCCGTCCTCGCCCGAATGATTGCGCATCTCCCAGGTAAGTGGACCCCGAGTTCGCCGTGGCCGCGAGCACCACCCCCACCACCTCCGCGGCGACGGCAGCCGCGGCGCCGAGCCTCCTGGCTTTGTCTGCGTCCCCTCGGCGCTGGTTCTAGCTGCGGCTGCGGCTGCGACTCCCGGGCTCGGCTCTCGGCGCAGGAGCCTCGCGTCCAGCCTTGCTCCTGGTTCCGTGCGTGTGTGGGTGTGCGCGCGTGTGTGTGCGTGTGTGAGTGTGTGCGCGCGTGTGTGTGCGAGAAACTTCGCCCAAGTTTGGATTCCGGGGAGAACCTGTTGAGGCAGGGAATGGCCCCAGGCGGAGAGGGGCAGAGGATGGAAAACCTGGGGTTCTCAGGGAGGGGGACGTCTCCGGATCCCGCGGTGGACTATGCTGCGACTTAGGGAAGGAGTGAGTGGGGATTTGGAGCATTGAGCAGACGGGTCCAGGTTCGGACTAGGGGTGGTGCTGCAGATTCCGAGAGGACTATGTTTGTCGATGCGCTCCCTTTCTTGGGTGATGCTGTCCAGGGTGGAGAACTGGAGGTGGCTTCGAGGTCCGCAGAGACGCTTCTGACCCCGCCTCTTCTCTCCGGCCTCGCTTTTCCCTTCCCCACCCGGCTGCAGCGGGTCTGGGACAGACAGGCAAGAAGGGGCAGAGAACCTGCAGGCCAGTGAAGGCCTACGGATGCCAGGCCCATCCCTGTGCCTCTGGTTTTCTGGCAGGGGCCTCCAAGTCTGCAGTGGGCATTGTATGCACAGGACTAAGGGAGACTGGTTCAAGATCCACTGTGGTGCCAGATGTGCTGGCCCTCTTGAACATTCCTCTTGTCACTTTTGGGTGGGGAGAGGAGGACCAGGCTGCAGTTGGGTATCCCGGGTGGCCTCTGCCCCACCCCCACCCCAACTAGGCTTCTTTACTCGGCCATTTCCTGCCACTGGGCTCTGCAGGAGTGCGCACTCCTCCGATCCTTTCTCCGCTCTTCCCGCAGCTGCGGCGGATATGTGGCCGTCCACGAGGAGGCTAGCCGCCCCGCACATGCTGTAGCTCCTCCCGGACGCCGCCAGAGCGTCCCCGGTGACCCGCTGCGCACCATGGAGGCCCCATATTCGATGACCGCGCACTACGACGAGTTCCAGGAGGTCAAGTACGTGAGCCGCTGTGGCGCAGGGGGTGCTCGGGGGACCTCGCTGCCGCCCGGCTTCCCGCGGGGCGCGGGGCGCAGCAGCTCGGGGGCGCGCACCGGGCTGCCGCGGTGGAACCGGCGCGAGGTGTGTCTACTGTCGGGGCTAGTGTTCGCCGCCGGGCTCTGCGCCATCCTGGCCGCGATGTTGGCGCTCAAGTACTTGGGTCCAGGCGCGACGGGCGGCGGCACCTGTCCCGAGGGCTGCCCGGAGCGCAAGGCCTTCGCGCGCGCCGCGCGCTTCCTGGCCGCCAACCTGGACGCCAGCATCGACCCGTGCCAGGACTTCTACTCGTTCGCGTGCGGCGGCTGGCTGCGGCGCCATGCCATCCCCGATGACAAGCTCACCTATGGCACTATCGCGGCCATCGGCGAACAGAACGAGGAGCGCCTGCAGCGGCTGCTGGCTAGGCCGGCGGGAGGCCCGGGCGGCGCGGCACAGCGCAAGGTGCGCGCCTTTTTCCGCTCATGCCTCGACATGCGCGAGATCGAGCGACTCGGGCCGCGGCCCATGCTCGAGGTCATCGCGGACTGCGGCGGCTGGGACGCAGCGCGCTGGGACCTGAACCGGCTGCTCTACAAGGCGCAGGGCGTGTACAGCGCCGCCGCGCTCTTCTCGCTCACGGTCAGCCTGGACGACAGGAACTCCTCGCGCTACGTCATCCGCGTGAGTGTGGGGACCCAGATGGCGGGACACCGGGCCGATCCACAGCGCGCAGGGAGGAGCGGAGCGCGGGGAGGGCGCCGGTCATTTTCCGGAGTGATGGCGGAGTGCAAAGAGCCCGGAATCCCTGCCTGTGGCAGTGAGGACAGGAGAGGGAGGGGACCTAGGACTGGAAGATTACGCTGCCTGGGCAGGGGCTGGCCAGGAATGCCAGGGTTCCATTCCCAAAATGGACCTAGTCTTCCCGTGCCAAGCAGGTAAATGCGGATGGATGGGAAAGCATGGGAGAGCTCCCCAGCTGTTCCCAGGTTGTGTCCCCAGCTCCTGGGGCGGTGGCAGATGTCTGGCAGGTGCTCTCGGGCACGTGGGAAGTCGCAGTCTGGGAAGCAGGCACATCGAGCTCCCACCTCAGGCACTGTCTTTCTCCCCAGATTGACCAGGATGGGCTCACCCTGCCGGAGAGGACCCTGTACCTGGCTCAGGACGAGGAGAGCGAGAAGGTACCAGCCAGCTGGGGCTGCGGGGCAGCCTGGGCCCAGAGTGGGGGTGGGGGCGTCACCAGGCTGCCTTGTGCGGGGCTTGAAGAGCCCCGACCCGCGCAGGTCCTGGCAGCCTACAGGGTGTTCATGGAGCGCCTGCTCGGCCTGCTGGGCGCCGATTCCGTGCAGCAGAAGGCTCAGGAGATCCTGCAGCTGGAGCGGCAGCTAGCCAACGTGAGCCACACTGGGCCGGGCCGGGCTGGGTGGGACAGGACACGGGCTGAAGCACTCAGAGGAGTCTCCTCCAGATCACCGTGTCAGACTATGACGACCTGCGAAGGGATGTCAGTGCCATGTACAACAAGGTCACGCTGGGCCAGCTGCAGAAGATCACCCCCCACGTGAGTGTGGCTGCACTGCCACGCAGGAGGGGCTGAGCCCAGGCCAGGGTCCCCCCCCCCACTGACACGCACTGGGGATAGTGTGCAGCTTTTCTGTGCACCTGGACTCCTCCCTGGAGATCCAGCCCCTCACTTCTCCTGACCCCTCCCTGTGCCTGCCCTTGGCCCCACAGCTGCGGTGGAAGTGGCTGCTGGACCAGATCTTCCAGGAGGACTTCTCAGAGGACGAGGAGGTGGTGCTGCTGGCCACGGACTACATGCAGCAGGTGTCCCAGCTCATCCGCTCCACGCCCCACAGGTGGGCTGCTGCCCTGCCCCCACCGTCTGCAGGGCTCCGCTCTGCCCTATCTGTCCGCATGGCAGCCTCTGAGCGTCCACTGTCCCCTCTGTGCCAAAGCCACCGTAGGCCAACAGCTGGGGCACCAGACCCCTGTGTCCAGAGGCTGGTGCTGCCCTCTGCGCTGTGGGAGCTGGGCAGGCTGGGAGCGTCCCGAGCTGCTCACCTCGCTGAGGGTGCTGAGGCTGAGACTGGCATCTCTGTGGGAACAGGTGGCCATGACACTGCTGCCCAGGGTCACCTCAGAGAGGGCCTCCTGTCTCTGGCCCTCCTGGGGGAAGAACAAGGAGGCTCAATGTCAGATCTGAGATAGGCAGCCCAGAGGGCCCAGGGCTCCACCCACAGGAAGACAGGAAATGTGGCTGGTGGAGCCCTTCGGGGAAGGGCAGTGGTTTGTGCCAGAAGCAGGTGCCCTGTGACTAGGCTCATGATACTTTACATTGAGCATCTGCATACCCAGGTTGAGTTCTCCCCCTTCTTTAAGGGACATTGTGGGTACCAGGTCTGTGCCATGGGAGGGGTAGGCATGCCCACCTTCGTGTCTTCCTGAACACCCCTGCTTCACTTGCTGCAAGGATCCTGCACAACTACCTCGTGTGGCGTGTGGTGGTGGTCCTGAGTGAGCACCTGTCACCCCCGTTCCGTGAGGCACTGCACGAGCTGGCCCGAGAGATGGAGGGCAGTGACAAGCCTCAGGAGCTGGCCCGCGTCTGCCTAGGCCAGGCCAACCGCCACTTCGGCATGGCGCTTGGTGCCCTCTTTGTACACGAACATTTCTCGGCTGCCAGCAAAGCCAAGGTCAGGTTGCCCTGGGTAGAGGATGTGGGCACGGGTGCAGAACTGGACATGGAAGGGGGAGCCGGGCATATTCTTTAGGAGCTGGGGCGTCCGGTGTGGCTAAGGGCTTAGTAGCATGTCCAGCCCCCAGAAAGCCTCAGTGCTGGGGTGGCTGCAAGTGGCACTCTCTGCCAGGCTGCCGCCATCCTTGCCAGTGCCCTGGAGGCGTGGCCTTGGGAAGGTACAGGATTGGTTTGGGCAGTTTTCCCCTTCTGGGCTGGGGGCTTCAAGTCAGAATTCTGGGCACGGACCTCACCGCTGAGGTCTCCTTGGTGCTCAGCATGGCTCCCCCTGGCTTAGCAAGTGGGACTGCAGGCCAGGGGTACCCTTGTTGTCAGCCCTTGGAGTCAGATCATCAGCCTTCCTTTGAGCCCTGGTCTCTGATGCCTGACCTGGCAGGTACAGCAGCTGGTAGAAGACATCAAGTACATCTTGGGCCAGCGCCTCGAGGAGCTGGACTGGATGGATGCCCAGACCAAGGCTGCTGCTCGGGCCAAGGTGACATGGGACCTGAGCCCCTCCTGGTACCAGATCCTGGGGAGTCCAAGAGATCAAGCTGCCTTTGCAGAAAGACATCATCCGTTCACTCCTCCCTGACTGGATACCCACACATTGGCCAGCCTGGAGCTCCTCCCTGGGGCACCTGGGGCTGCTCAGAGACCTGAGTCCCTCTCACCTGCCTGTCACCACAGCTCCAGTACATGATGGTGATGGTCGGCTACCCAGACTTCCTGCTCAAACCAGAGGCTGTGGACAGCGAGTATGAGGTGGGGCTTGTTCCCCTGCCCTGCACAGCCCAACCCTAAGGCAGTGGACCACAGGCCACAGATGGAATCATAGCACCTCAACTGAAGGCACGGCCCTGCCCTGGCCTGCCACTGAGTGCTGCCCATCTGCATACAGTTCGAGGTCCACGAGAAGACCTACTTCAAGAACATCTTGAACAGCATCCGATTCAGCATCCAACTGTCTGTCAAGAAGATACGGCAGGAGGTGGACAAGTCCACGTGGGTACCCGGCCTCGAGCTGGGGGGTCAGGGAGGCCATGTAGGGAGTGCTCCTTCCCAAAGCCAGGCGCCACTGGAGGAAACCTCCTCAGAGCCAGGCTGATGTGGGGATGCATGGGCCTTTTCAGGGTACAGGGTGTCCCAGCCCTGGAAGTTGCCAGGAGGCAACCGTGGTTTGCTGTCAAGAGTCTTCAAGCATGTGACATTGTTGGGGGGAATTGTGTGTCCCCCAGGTGACTCAGCCTCCTTCCACACAGGTGGCTACTCCCTCCTCAGGCGCTCAATGCCTACTATCTACCCAACAAGAATCAGATGGGTAAGAGGGTATGCCATGGCCTAGGTTGGGCCGAGAGTGTGCGTGTCTCTTGCTGACCACGCCTCTCCATAGTGTTCCCCGCTGGCATCCTGCAGCCCACCCTGTATGACCCCGATTTCCCACAGTGAGTAGGGGACCCAGATCCACTGCTGGGCCTGGAATGCGAGTGGGTGGTGGTCTGCAGCTCCACAACTGGGCTGGGTCACAACCGCTGCAGACCCTGGCTCCCCACAGTCCTGCTTCGTTCTTGCTTATTTAGTAATTGGGGTTTTTGTTTCGTTTTGCTTTTAAAACTTCTCAGATGTCCCTTGCCTGTTCCAGCTTGTCCAGGTGTTTCCAAAGTGGAGGGGATGTAGGAGTGGGGAAGGAGGCCTCGGGTTCCCCCTTGCCTCCCTCTGAGCCTCATCAGCTCTGTTAGGTGTTATTTCCAAGAGGGCAGCTGGACAGGACATTGTCTCCTTTCATGGCGCCCACAAGGAAGCTCAGGCACGAGTGTTCAGGACCTCGTGGATGCCCCTGTGGCCTCCCTGGCTACTGCTACCCTAGCCAGGGGCTTCCCCAGGCCTGGGCAGCGACATGGGCTCTCAGAGGGCAGGTGAGGGCTGGGCCTCATGCTTCTGCCATGGGCCCAGGTCTCTGAACTACGGGGGCATTGGCACCATCATTGGACACGAGCTGACCCATGGCTATGATGACTGGGGTGAGCCTGTGGGGGCCAAAGGGACTGGCTGGTGGCAGGGGGCTCTGGAGATATGGGTTGGCCTCACCTGCCCACCCACTGCCCACAGGGGGCCAGTATGACCGCTCGGGGAACCTGCTGCACTGGTGGACAGAGGCCTCCTACAGCCGCTTCCTGCGCAAGGCCGAGTGTATCGTGCGCCTCTATGACAACTTTACTGTCTACAACCAGCGGGTGAGCCCTCCCCGTCTGCTGGGCGTGGACAGGGAGCGTGCACGCTTGTGCACACGCTTGCAGGCCCCTGCACACATGTTCAGGGTTCTCATGCACAAGAACATGGCACTTAGTGAGGCTGCACTGACTCAGGTGGGGTGCAAGGGGGGAAGAAGAGGAAGCCTTTGGGAAGGGGAAACTGGAGTCGGGCTGGAATCGGGAGCCCCGTGTACCCTCGACTTTTCTCTTCTGGCAGGTGAACGGGAAGCACACTCTTGGAGAGAACATTGCAGACATGGGTGGCCTCAAGCTGGCCTACTATGTGAGCCATCCTGCCTGCCTTCTCCCTGCTGGGCACAGACAGACCTGATGAGAACCCTAGGCTGGAGATGCAGTTGCCCACCTGCCCACTGCTCTGAGCTCTGCCCTGTGCCATAAACCCTGCTTTCACCAGGAGAGTGGGGAGGGCTTCCTGGAAGGGTGGCTGTGGCCAAGGGTCACCCTTCTGGAGCACAGTTCGAGGAGGGTGGCTGGGGGGCACCCAGTAGTGGTGGTCACCAAGCTGGGGCTGGTGAAGAAAGGGCTGCTCCCCCTCGACTCAGCATCCCAGGGAAGGGCTAGCCCGCGGAGGATGGAGATGGAGCAGTGTCCAGGGCGGGTGGCACAGCTGCTCCCTGCTGTCTGCACCCCCAGGCCTATCAGAAGTGGGTGCGGGAGCACGGCCCAGAGCACCCTCTGCACCGGCTCAAGTATACACACAACCAGCTCTTCTTCATCGCCTTTGCCCAGGTGTGGGGTGGATGCTGTCGGGGAGACTGTGTCCAGGCTCAGGCCCAGGTGTTGGGGGTCCAGCCCTGTGTGTCCAGCCTGTCTCCCATCCTGGGTCACTGATGTGGGTGCTGATGTGTAGTGGACAAGAACTGTTGGTCCTTATCTCCCTGTCTCCTCCCCTTTGTCCCTTCGGGGGCCCAGAACTGGTGCATCAAGAGGCGGTCGCAGTCCATCTACCTACAGGTGCTGACCGACAAGCACGCCCCTGAGCATTACAGGTAACACCCACCTGCCTGCCGAGTGGCTGGGAGGTCCTGGAAGGTCAGCCCTGCCAGAACCCATGTGCCTGGGTGTCTGCCTCCACCCCAGGGTGCTGGGCAGCGTGTCTCAGTTTGAGGAGTTTGGCCGGGCCTTCCACTGCCCCAAGGACTCGCCCATGAACCCTGTGCACAAGTGCTCAGTGTGGTGAGCCCGGCCGCCTGCTCGCCCGCCCCCCACTGTCCCGCACGAGTCGATGCCTGCCGGCTGCCGGGCAGGCATGTGCCCTGGCTGCCCCGCTGTGGTTCCCTGACCCTCCCAGCCCTTCCAGCCTGGACCCCTGGCACCCACAGTCCCTCACTTCTGGAGGGGCCTGGAGCAGGGGTGGCATGTACTCCGGGACACTGGGAGGAGACTGAGGTCCCTATGCCCCCTGGCTGGATCGTACAGGCCCTGCCTCCACTGTGTTCCTGCTGCTAAGCCTGGTCAATAAAGCTGCTGTACTGTCGATGTGGCCTCCTCAAGGGACTGAGCCAGCGGGGCTGGATGGGCTTCTCTAGGGGGTGGTGCTTAGCTGGAAGGACAGCTGGGCCCAGAGAGGACCTTCTTGGCCCCTCAGTTGCTCTGGCTTGGCTGCCTCTATCCCACTTCCTTGGGCTCTTCTGTTCCCTCTGCCACCTGTTGACTGCACCCTGTCCTTCCCTACAGCCCTGCCCGGGGCTTCCTGGGCAGCCTCATGGCCTGTGACCTACACTGCAGGGTTGCACAGTTTGCTGGCACTGGAAGGCAGGAGACGCTTCTGCAGTGTCTCAGCCAGGCTTTGGAGTCCACTTCTGCTCTGGGAAGGGTGATTGTGGCTCCTTGTTCCACAGAGTTGGGGTCTGCAGCCTGGAGCAGGGTCTTCTGGGGTGAGGAAGGGAAAGGAGGGATGGGGGGCTGGTGATGGGGCTCCAGGCATGACGAGGAGAGGAGGAGCCAGAAGTCTTGCCCTGTATGGACACGGCTGCCTGCCCTGCATGCTGCATTGTGGAGGGGGTGCAGCAGGACATCCTCGTACTGGGGTTCCAGGGTTCCCAGCGTCTGCAGGGATGGGCTCCTGTGCTTCCTTCCTGTCTTTTTCTGTCATGTCAGCTCTCCAGCTAGAGAGTCATTTGAAAAGTCCCTGTCATCTGAGCCCTGGGCACATCCACATGTGACCCAAAACAGTGGGGAAAGGGTTGGTGTTCCAAGGCTTGGGGACACTACAAAGGGAACCTGCTCAGTCCTGGGCACAGAGCTGGCTTAGAGCTGTGTATCAATGGCTCCTGGATAGCACATGTTTACCTCCTCCGGGACTAAGGACTGAACTTAGGGTCTTTGTGCTGAGCTACATCTCTGGTCTTTTTTATTTTTTATTGTGAGTCATGATCAGGCTAAGTTCTAAATTGCCTGGGCTGGGCTCAAATCTGCAGTCCCCCTGGGATTATAGGTACCTTGCCTGGAGTGTGGCATGTTCTTGGAGGTGGTCTGCACCCCATAGCGGTGCTGTATTTCTGGGCCTTTCCTCCTGGTCTGAGCACATATGTAAAATGTCCCTTGGGCAGCTGGGACAGAAGACAGTCCTCAGGGTCCTGGTGTCCGAGACTATGAACACCCCATTCCTTTGGTCTAGGATCCTGCTGGGACCAGGGCTCCAGGCCCAGCCCACTCTCTGAGTCCCCAGATCCCTCCTGCTCTGGGGACGTGAGGGGAGGCCGCAGGGGAGGAGTCCTCAGCAGCATGAAAATTTCTTCTGCACTGTGTGGCAAATGTGGTGGGATGAGAACTCTCCCAGGACGGAGCCCTCCCCGTTCTGTCTGTTCCCTGCCGTGGAGATGAGGAGGGGAGGGGACCTGCGGTTCCAGCAAGACTGGGCATCTTTATGTGTCACCCAAAGTGCTTTTCCAGGCAGGCCAGAGGAGCGTCCTCTCAGTGACCCAGGGAGGCGGGGCCAGGAACAGGTCACCCTGATGGCGTCTGGAGGTGGCTGGGTCTTGGCTTCAGAGCCTTCTTGTGATTAGATGTCAGGAGACCGTGCAGGGGCTCCGACTGTAGTCGCTTGTGTGGCTGCCAGGCCCTGTGCTTGAGGTGGTCTGTGATTCTCCCAGGGTGGAAGGAAGTGAGAGAGCTCAGAGCTGCTGCTCACGCAGCCTCAGTTTCCCTCATGTGCTGATCCAGGAAGGCCCTTCCCAGTGATGACATGACTCTGATGGGTTGGCTGCATCCAGGGCCCCCTACGCAGCAGGCGGCTTATTGGGGTGGTGGAAAGCAATCTCCTGCTCCGCGCTTCATAGCAGGGGAACTTCGGAGCTGGGGGCAGTGAACCGTGCTAAGCATCCACCTGCATGGCCACGGGCTCACGCCCAGCTCCTGCTTCAGCAGGTCCTCAGGCTGGTGGGTCTCTGCACTGGACCTGATTCTGCTGCCTGCAGCTTTGATGCCAGGGGTGACTGCCGGTGACCTTGGCGTGGGAGTCTCCCTCTTTAGAGCCAGTGTTCCTTCCTTCCCCAGGAGGGCACAGCTCTCTGGGGTCCTCCCAGCCCCACCCTGGCCCCATGTGAGCCTGACTCAGGGTCCTCAGCTCTGAGAACACCCAGGATGTCCTTAATGCCGGGTGCCCCCTCTCTGCACAAAGCCAGGAAGATTCTGAAGCGACTGCGTAGACCGCCCAAGAGGGACGCCAGTGAAGTGGGCTGGGCTGGCTCCAGCTTTTGGTGCAGGGATCTGAGGTACTCTAGAGGCTTGGGTGTCTCCTCCTGGCCCCTTGGGTGGGTTGGCCTTGGTCCCCCAATTCCTTTTCTTCCCAGGGTGCTACCCTCACAAGACTGGCTCAGTCCTAGACTTTGCTGCAGTTTGGGGTGCCCAAAGGCAAGGCCTGTCCAGGTGCTGAGGTCTGCTGGCTCTTTCTCTTCCCACGCCTTGGCTAGCTTGGGAAGCCCTCCTTTTTTGACTTATTAAAAGGCCCTGGTTTCCCGTCCTCTGCTGGCTCCTGGCTCATCCAGAGGCTGAACCCTCAGTGCACCCCACCATTGTTCTCTCAGGCCCACTGTGTACCACCTGACCCCAGACTCCGGCTTCCCTTCCCTGTCCAGTGGCCTCTGCCAAGCAAGAATGAAGAGCAATTTCATTTTACAGATATGAATTACTTTGTCTCCCACCCTTTGAAAGGCAGAGAAGACCATTTAAAATGATCATTTCCTCTTTTCCTCTCCCTCTGCAAGAGCTACAGGACCACATCTGCCCCCTTCCCCCAGCCTGCAGTGGGTTCAAAGGGGGCTGTGAAGAAGCCAGGGTGCCCGGGCTTTGGGTCCAGCCTGCGGCCCTCCAGGTCTTGGCCACTGCACCGCCATTGATCCACAGGAGGTGGAGCTTGGGAGAGTTTATGGAGAAAAACACAGGTCACCAATCATGCTATTTATAATCCGGCCACTTCCACAAGGCTCCAGGACAATGCGACTCGCAGCCCATCCTCCCCGGGGAAGTCTTTGCTCCAGAAGCTCACTTGTCATTGCGTTTTGGTGTCCTCAGATTTGGATGGCATCTGGCTGTCTGAGACCTTGGCAGCAGCTCGGGGAAGGCGGCTCCCCTGTGCTGTGTCCGGGGAAGTAGAGAGCCTGGGTCCTGGTTTGCCAAGCTCCTTCCCCTTGGAGGTGGCAGCTGTGTCCTGGCCTGGCCTTTGCTGCAGTCCTTGTAACAAGCTGGTGGCCACACCTTGGTATTCTTGTTCTTCTGGCCCTGTGGACAGTGCCCTGCCTCAGTGCCGGGCCCTTTGGTCCCAGTGCTGTGCGTGAGATGTGGCCAGGCTTGTCCTGGGGTGAGGCTCAGCTCTTGCTTCTTTGTGTGCTTCCCTGGGTATCTCCAGTGCTGTTCCCACTGGCTGTGACCCCAAGAGCACCTCCCTATGGCAGGTGTCAGCTGTGTCTCAGTGCAGCCCAGGTGCCCAGCTTGGCACACAGAGCGTGCGCTCCTGTCACAGGATGCCGCTGCCTCCTGCCCTGCTGCCTGCCACCCCCATGTGCCCAGAATGCTGCATGGGGCACCCAGTTCAGCCCAGACCCAGCTGGAGTCCAGCGTAAGCTCATCCGGTCAGAAGGCAGCGAGCACCTGACTCTCCCAGCCTCGGCTACCCCCTGGGACTCCGGCAGTGGCTCGGCTGATTCATCTGGAGGCAGGCAGGTGGCTCCAGGGCCAAGCGCTGTCACACGGTGCTGTTAAACCGCCTGTCTCCTTGCCTATGCTTTGCATAAATAATAATAATAAAAAATCTCCCACCTTCCCGTGGGACCAACGGCTTCCTGGGCTGCTGTCAGGGATCTGCATGGCGGAGTCTGAAGGCAGCCCCTTTGGGGAGCCCCAGCCACATGGGGGTGGGGCTGCTGTGCTTGCTGATAATGACAGTTTGCAAACCTGGTGAGCAAAGAAAGGTCCAAAACTGGGATCCAGGGCTTTGTTGCCTTCCTGTTGAGGACAGATGGAGACCTCACCGTTCAGGACAGGGGACAGCTGTTTCCTCCCCGAGGGCTCGGTGGGCACGTGGCTGGTTCCCAGGTCCTGAGCCAAGCATCCCCAGCAGGCAAGGGTACAGCTGCCCGTCAGCGCTGTGGTGTGGGGTGTGAATGTGGGAGCTCCGTGCGGCAGAGGAAGTAGATCCTGGGGTCACTTTAGATCCTGGCCTGAGAATCCTGGCCGCTGCCTGGCAGCCACCTAGAGACTGGGATTCTGGGGCGGCTCCCTTGAGGGGCCACTGCCTGGCATGTGGATGCTCATGGGGAGAGAGGAGGGTGAGCCTGGCCCCAGCTGGGCCCTCCCAAGAGGCTGCAAGGCAACCCCGGTTTCCAGCCTGACACTTTCTGTGCCAGCCTCCTACTTTGTGCTGGGTCAGGGCTCCATGTCCAGCTGAGAGCCTCTGGTGCCTGCAGAGTCCCTGCTTGGGGCTTAGTTCTGCAGGGAGTGAGGTGTCTGTGGTCTCAGAGAGTCCTGTCTGGTCCCCCCTGGCCTACAGTGGCATGCTGGGGCATCTTGCTCTGTGCTGGGCTGCCTGTTTGCATTGCTTCTGTCATATGCCGTGCAGTGGCCTTGCACAGCAGGCTCCTGTGATCAGAACAGACGCTCCTCAAACTTAATATCCAGCTCTGCTGATTGTGGTGGTGCATTCAGGAGGCTGAGGCAGGAGGATCTGCTATAAAGTCAAGCCCAGCCTTGGCTATGTAGTGAGTTCAAGGCCAGCCTGGAATGCACAGTGAGACCCTGTCTCTAAAAACCACCACTGCCAACAACAAAAATGAATGTTAACCTCCCTGCTGGCACCTGCACCCCTCCGCCAGGCACCAAAGCCCATGTCATTCTCAGGTGTCCTACAGGAAAGGGCCAGGGAGTCTTGAGCCAGGGGTTGACAGCCCCCCTCTCCTCCCTGCTGGCTCCCTTTCAGTGGATTTTGTGATGGGTGTGAGTTAACGGTCTGGCTGAGGAATTATATGATTATATGATCTA